GGTCATGACCCCCTCATGTTTTCAAGAAATGCTTTATTATATTAGAGTACTAGTTATTGTCTATACTTGAAGGCACGAGGTAATGAAAAAATGGTCCATAATAAACATATTTGTATTTACACTCAAAAGTAAATCACAAATATAGAGAAGAGAAAAAAAAATTTAAGCACTAATTATAGTTGGAGTGAGCGGTGGTAGTGGTGGTGGACAATAGTGGTGGGGGCGGCAATGTTGGTGGTGAGACGGTGATGGTTGTGGTGGGTGGCGGTGATGGCAATTGTGGGTGGCAACGGTGATGGCGGTGGTGGGTCTTGGGTGAAAATAGTGGTAGTGGTAGCCAAGATTGATGATTGTGGTGGTGGTGGGTGACGGTGATGGTGATGGTGTTTGGCAGTGGTGGTGGTGGCTCGACAATAGTGGTGGTGAGCAGTGACGATGGTAATGGTGGGCGATGATGGGTGCTTCTGTTCGATAGTGTGATGAGTGGTGGCGAACGGTGGTGGTGATGGGGGTAGATGACAGTGGGTGGCGGTAGTGGTGGGTGATGATGGATGGTGGTGGGCAACAATAGTAGTGGTGGGTGACAATGGTAATGGGATGATGGTGGTAGTGATAATAAATATAAGAATGAGATGACGATAGTGGTGGGTGGTGGTGGGATGACATTGGTGGTAATGGTGATGGAAATAGTGGGGGTGGTAATAGGGGTAGTTATGGTGGTGAGATGGTGGTGGCGGTAGTGGTAGTGGTAGTGGTGATGGTGGTGGGGCGGTGGAGGTGGTGGTGGGGTGGCGATGGTAGTTGTGATGATGGTGGTGGTGGGGTGGCGATGATAGTTGTGATGGTGGTGGTGGTGGTGGTGGTAGTGGTAATGGTGGTGTGGCGATGGTTCTGAAACTATATTTTTTTTAAAGTACTTATGAGACGTTATAATCTATATCTATACTACTAATAAAAATACCTTAGATGAAAAATTTTTGATTATCATTTTTACCCTTAAACAATCCTAAAAAGTCATCTTTGCTATCCTCATCCTTCACACTATCATGGAACTAGCAATTAGAAAGACAATAAATAATAAATTGTTAGACCTTACAAATTCTAACAATAAATATTAATTTACAGTAGTCTACTATTGGAAGTGGAATCATTTCCTATATCTATACTATTAATCCTTGTGTTTGTATTTTTTTTACCATTCAAGAATTCAACAAAAATAAGTTATTTTAGCTACAATAAATTCACTTTATTCCGTGCAAATATTAACTGAAGTTGTTCATTAAGGGCACTAAAGGGGCACATAATTTTTCTCTCATATAGTATCGTTTTCTTCATCAGTTCTCCAGCCATGGAAGCCCTGATCAATCTTTTGACCAAACCATTAAAAGACCTATCATCAAGAAGTCTGCTCTCCAATAATTGCTACTAAAAGCTTCAATGAAGTGTGGGTATATCAGCTGGAGATGTTCTACTTGGAGATATACTTTCTAGTTAGAATCAGATATCGATAAATAAATTTTTGATACCATATCTTTTTCTTTTTTTTTTATTTATAAAATCATGTTGGAAATTATGTTATTTTATTATATTATTTTAGTGATTAATAGTTACAAATAACTCCAAATGTACAACCTAAAGATAACATAGTGTTGTCCTAGACTTTCTTAGTGCCAAACACTAACGCCTAGATATTCTAAGCAACCATGCAAAGCTAATCGGGAAAATTATCACTATTTAGTTTTATAGATTTTGGGGTGGGTTTTCTGTTCTTTGTTTGATTCTTTATTTTGAGTAACAAATCATGAATGAATCCTTCACATGATAGGTTTTCCTATCTTGCTTAATGAGATATGTTCTTTAACTTTTATTTTAATTAGAGTTGGAATATATGGGGTTGAATGGATCTTGTGTTTGTTGCTTATAAGTTTTTTTTTCCATTTTTTTATGTAGTTGAAATTAGATCATGAAAGAAAAGTTTTAGAAACATCTAACAATAAATTGAAATCCTTATATTGGTTTTTCTTTATTTGGACACTTCGTTTATTTGGACACTTCGTGACAATCTCTAGATAATGGAGGATTCATTATGTCATGGGAAATTGGATGTATGATTTGCAAATTTTGATAAAACTAGGTGAATTGATAAGAAAACTATTCGAAGATCGAGACTATCTTTAATTATACATATTCGTAGCTATAGCTATTCTCCCCGAAGGACTAATCACCTATCCCTTCACACCACCGCCATAACTAAGGTTCTGTGCTTATAAATTGTAAGTCATCTCCATAAGAGGGGCATCTCCCTACACACCATCGACAAAGCTATCTCTCTCATAGTTGTCCAACCTCTCTTAGAGCTTACCATTGCTCTCTCTCTCATCTTACTTTATCAATAAAAGTCTCTGGCTACCGTTGTCGTCTTTAGAAGTGGAGTAGATCACCTTGACCAAACTTATGTGTGTTGACCTAACTTTAACCTTCTGTTGTTAATTGCTTTATTTATTACTTCATTAATTGCTTTATTGATTACTTCATTAATTACTTAGAATCGTACACTCGACTGTTGATTGTGCATAAATCCACTGTTGTGCATCATCAATAGGTACTTAAAAGGTAGGGTGGGAATTAAGGAAAAGACAATTTTCTTGGAAGAAAAATGCAGAGAAATTGGTTTCAACTATGTTTGGTAGACTTATTAGTCGTATGGATTTTTGGAACTCAAATGTCCATTCTCCAACCAAACATTTTTTTTCTCCGACAAGAACCAAACTTTGGAAAGTTCATTATAAGGAAGCTAGGTGGGAGGATAGTTTTTCAAAAAAAGGGAATTACTGCATAAATTTAAAAAGTAGATTTAAAAATTAAACTTGATAATCACAATTATTGAATAGGTAGTAAGTCTTAATAAATACTAGAACTCACAATGAAATCAATGATTGCAATTATCAAGTCTACTTTTTAAGTTCATGTAACATTGCTCTTACAAAAATGACTTTTCGTGGGATTTCTAAGAATTTTCTTCCTCAATTTTTTTTTTTTTTTTGGTAAAATACATTTTTACTCTTCAAACTATATGCTTTGCGTTAGTTTATTCTCCAATCTTTTAATTGTATGCATTTGGTCCATCAACTTCTCAATTGTGTCACTTTGGTCTAATCAACAATAACCGATTGAATTTGGTCTAATCAACAATAACCGATTGAATTGACTAACAGAGATATTCAACAGTTCAAGTGACCACATTTGTTGGGTGACTTTGGCTCCTTAAATTTGTAACTTATATCATTTTGGTCTTTCAAGTTTAAAGTTTGTGTCACTTCAGTTCCTAAAGTTTTCAAAAAATGCACGTCAAGTGTGATCACGTAAGATGCACATGACGATCTCCATTAGTAATTCCAACTGTCATTTTTTATTAGACTAAAGTGACATAAATTGAGAAGTTGAAGGATCAAATTCACACAATTAAAAGATTTAGGGCCTAACTAACACAAAGTGCATAATTTGGGACCAAAAATCTATTTTACTCTTTTTTTTTTTTTGCAATTACTTTTTGTGGGTATTCTATGCATATAACTCTCAAACTATGGCATTTTTGTAAATTAAATTTTAAAATTTTTTATGTTAATTGACCTTTTAAAGTATCTAATTATGTCAATTGAGTCTTTTTGTCTGCCTCCATTAGATTTTCTAACCGAAAGTGGTGAAGTGTGCCATGTGACACAAATAAGTAAAAATATGGCCCTCAAACTACGATTCTCATGCCAATTGAGCTCCTGAACTTTTTTTTTTGCCAATTAAGCCTTTGAAACTCTCTAATTATATTAATTTAGCCCTTATGTTTTTTTGTATCATATGGTCACGTCAGTGACACACTCTAATAGAGGCAGACAGAAGAGTTCAATTGACATAAAAAAATTAAAAACTTAATTGCCATAACCATCATAATTTGAAAGTCATGTATCTCTACAACGTGGAAAGAGGTTTCCAATCAAGAAGGTGCTACGAAATTTCCATCTAAACCTTGAAGTTTCTAAGAAGTGGAGATTTAAGAGACATAGGGGTGGCTAGGGCCTTTCACACTGGCTACGTGTGAAATTAAAAGCCACAAGTAATGTCATGGGGATTTTGGAGAAGACGACTTTTTTAGAACTTATTGGTCCCTACATTTTTAGTCCTTGTCAGAACCAAGTTGCTAAGAAAAATTCATCCAAACACGAAGTCCTTAAGAAATGGAGATTAAGAAACATGTGGATTTTAGGACTTATCACATCACACCGTGTTATTTTTCGGTGTCATATTGAATTAAGAATTAATATTATATATTTTTTATCAATGTAGTTCTTATTGTATCAATTTTGTTAATTTAATCGCTAAAGTAATTAATTTCTGTCACTTTGATTTCTACATAGATGAAATGTTAAATTTTTTTAACAAAAGTGACCACATATCATTTTTTTAAATTAATCACGTGCTTGACAAGTGTGTGTGTGTGTGTGTGTGTTTATTTATATAATAAAATACAATACAATTTAAATTTCAAAAAATAAACAATGATTTTTTTTCTTTTCGCGGTTGATGTCCCTTTAAATTTATTTTAAAGTTAATTCGATAGCTAATATTAACACCCCAAATTAATAGAGAAAATAGACCCCTAAGGGTATGTTTGGGCTACTAACGGGTCTTTGATCCAATAGTAATCTTTACCTTGTGAAGACTTTGTCTTCTTGAGGTCAAGGGTTCAAGTCTATTTCCCTTCTCCCCCTCCCCCCCCCCCCAAAAAAAAAAGAGTATATTTGGGATAACTTTTTAAAAGTACTTCTAAAACTTCTCACATTTCATAAGTACTTTAAAAAAAAAAGTAGTGTTTAATTTAAACTCGTCTGTATTTTAATTATTGAACTCAAGTTGCACTTTATTAGGTATAAAAGTTAGGGAAAATCATTATTAGAGAGGGTTGAAATAATATATATATATATATATAAAGAGAGAGAGAGAGAGAGAGAAAAGAAGAAGAAGAAGAAGAAGAAGAGCTCATCACACAGTAAGATGAGCAAAGCCAAATGTTTATTTCATCATATGACATATTAAATAGTTATCCAAGCCATCTTTGTGTCATTCATGGAAAAACATCCATTTTCCATGACATGTTGCCTCTTATTCAACCAAAGAAAGATAAGCACAAGACCTTTTTTTTTTTTAGTTTACTAATAATGAGTAAAATAGCTTCTTATTTTGGATGGCTTGAAATTTCTCCTGTGAACCTTCAAACCCTGTAAACAGAAGAAAAACAACGTATTTTGTTAGGGCACACTTAACTACTTGGAAATAATGCATATATAGGTGAATAATATTAATTTACAAGAATGCATCCAGTTGGTCGCTTGACTAGGGGTGCAAACGAAGCGAGTTTTTCATGAATAATTCTTCATAACAGTTCTGAATCGTCTCAAATAATTGTTTTTTGTCAATTTATCAAAAGAATCGAGCATGTACTCAATTTTAAAGCGTACATAGTAAATTAGTTGAATCTGAACAATGAAATCTTCATCTCGTTAGCCTTGTGAACATGCATGTTTATTATATTTTGTGCATGTTATAACTTAATATATAATTATGTGTAAACAAGTACAGCTTCATCTTATACACAAGTCTAAACTCGAGTACACACTAAAAATTAATGAGCTTGGCTTCACTAGCGGAGGCACATTAGGCCTAGAAGCCTTTTCCCACCTTCAAATTCCTGTCTATATTTTTTAAATTTATTTGTGCTCACCCTAAACACTCTATCGGTTGTAAATTCAGACGTTTTTAATTCGAACATTGACAACTCCTTAAGGTTAGGCCATGAGGGATTTATCCCTCGTAAATTCCTTAATCTCGACATGAATGACATGCCTTTGACTGAACCAAAGATGAGATTAATCAAGGTGTGTGTAAATTGCATCTAGACACCTCTGATCGTTGGAAAAAAACAAATAGTCTACCGAACAATTTGATGCCCGGATCCATTCAATTTATTTACACTCACTCTGATCTCACCACTGAAAATTAAAAAAAATGCGAGAAAAAAAGAGTTAAAAAAGAGTTTATGTGATGTATTACTGAGTGAAGTCGATGTTGATTCTCCCAGCATCAGGATTAGCAATGGCAGAGAAGGCTTCAAGAGAGAGATCGAGGCCGTTCGATGGGCAGCCGGGACAGAGATCGACGACCGTCACAGTCACGCTACCACCCTTACATGCCCCTGCAGGTCCTGTGCACGAAACGCTGAACCTTGTTCCACATATTGCTCCATTGTTATATAGGTCCGGACTTGCTGCAGCAATCATCGTGCCTTGGTCTTGGTACCCATAGCATGCTGAGGCTGCAAACAAAACAATATAGTTTACAGTAAGGTTAGTAAGGTTGGTTTTAAAACCTATCATAACTTGTGTTTTTTGGATGGCAATATTGAATTCCTCATTTGGAAAAGACTACTTATTATATATATCCAAAAATTTGATATTAGTACGATTTAATCAAGTCAAATTATGACTCAGTTATGTCAAAATTACGACTAAAGAAATCCGAATCACCTCCATTGAATCGTAATATCCCATTTGAGTTATAACTTGCCGTGATTGAATTGTATCTTCAGTCCAGTAATAAAAATATAATTTGCCACTATAGGCTTTTCCTCATTTTCTGACTATACATAAAATATTTTGCTACTACAGTTTACATACTACATCATTCCATTCCAATATTATAACTGCAACCATGACACAAACCACACCCACATATAAATGTAGGCTGAAATTCAAAGGGTGATCTATAGCCCAAAACAGTTGCACAATGATAATCTTGCAGCTCAAAATTTGAACTCGAATCCTACCCATACAATTCTAATTGTGTTCAAGTCGGATAGAAGTTCATCAATTGAATGTCGACCCTAATTCAGATGATTCAAATTCTATGCAATCCAGAAAGAGGGAGAGAATAAGTATACTTACGGACATATACTGTGTAGTATGTGGCAATCCCAGGAACGGCGGATGCAGCAGAAATTAGTGTTGTGACCATAAACGCCACAATGATAAGACGTGAAATTGCCATTTTCCTTTGATCTATTTGTGGGACAAAATCTTAAGCTAGCTCTCTACCTTACTACACTTGCACAAGTACACAGTGTGCTATGAATAAAATTTGATAGCCGAATGGTCCTATTTATAGAACCAGATTGTGTTCTTTGGTAACCAAGCAGTCTTTACACGTTTTCTTGGTCTTTTTTTCTTTTGGTAAATGTTTTCAACTCTATAGGAATAAATTATCGCTAGAAGGGACTAGTAGTTGTCTATGGTTTCGTAATCATCTCAAATAAATGTTAGTTATCTTCTGGAGTCTGGTATCCGAAAAAGACTCGTTACCTGGACAAGGATGAGGTTAAGGTACCAACAAAAAAAAAATTATAATCTTTTCTTTGGTCTGGTCAAAAGCAGGTTATCCACACCAAAATTAGGGTATTCATGAAGAATAAATCATTCATTATCTGGCTCCAAGGAATTGCTAAGATTCAAACTCAGGACGTCTAAATTTACAATTCGTCTTTATTACCACTTGAACTATCTTTTCGGACTAATGATATTAATTCTAAATGTGACAAATTGAGCCAATTGGTCCACATGATGTACCCCCCAAAGAGTTTCGGTTAGAAGCCACCACCCAAAGCCGTGCCAAACTTTGCTTGAAATCATGCATAGAACAAGGGCACATTTGATGCTACATATAGTCAATATAGGATAACAGAATTCACCAATTTTCCACATATATTATAGTAACTTGACTCGAATTTACACGTAAATTTCGAAGATGAATTTTCATTAGGAGAAGCAATCAAATTTGTCAGGTTGGTACGGTAATGGGTATTTCATGTGTGAAAATTTAGATTCCAACCATATATGTGGGGGCATGTATCATTGACCTTCTTCTATATATCTATACGGGTGCCGAACCAAAAAATCGTGTCAGGATGGACACAAATATTTTAACAAACTAAATATACATATATTTTTTACAATCGATAGAAATAAGATAATAATTTATTTAATTACGTCATATTTAATACTTAAAAATACATTAAATCCAATAGACCAAAATTTAATAAGCCTAGTATATACAAACAACAACAATAAAAAAAACTAATTATATCTTTTTACATAATATAAGTTAATTAAAATCATTTATAATTGACTCCGGTAAATTTTCATCATTGGAAATCATTGTATAACAACTTTATTATTTTTTATATACACAATCATGTTATCACTTCAGTATTTATCACCTATTCGATTATACAGTTCAATGCGTAATCTATAATGTCTACCATAATTAATAAAATAAATGTCAAAATTATAAGTAAAGTAGTTAATATGTATGTCATGTCTTTTCTAATATTAGAAAATATAAAATGATTCTAGTATATTTAAAATTTATCTAGATAGGTATCTACCATGTCCAAAATGTGTCAAAAATTAAGTGTACACTAATTGATATGCCAAAAAAATAGCGTGAAAATATTAAAAAAATATTTAAAATACATATAGGTAATATTAAGAAAAAAAATTTGAAGATGTAATCAACCAGGTTCTGTATTTACTTTGAGTGTTTGATTTAAGTGGTGGTGGGCCTAAATTTTTTTTTTAAGTGATTATTTAAACACAACACTACCCTTCAGAACACCAATTAACAATTCCATTAATATTAGGAATTATGTCATTTGTACTCCATTGATAGTAAAAATGTGGGGGTGATTAGACATAATAGCACAATTATGTATTAAACTCAACAGATGCAATATATGCAATCTAATAAGGCTTATCTATTAGTTGATGATTATTTTAGTTAATGTTTTTGCTGGCATCATACAATTTGAGGTTGTTAATTATTGCATACGTACGTTGTATGGGAACTACTTTGAGCTATAATTTTTATTATTTATTTATTTTTATAATTTTTGAATATTGTGTTTACATTGATCATTCACGTGTGCATATATATATATATATATATATATATATATATATATATATATATATATATATATATATATATATATTTAATATTAGAGTTAAAATATTGAATTCTCAATTTATAAAAGTACAATAAAGATCAAAATTGATTTCATTTTTATCTATTCAGTTCAATTTTTTCCCACTAAAAAATATCATCTTCTCTGCACAACCCAATCAACACGCTCCTCAATGGCAGACAACCACACTAATTCAAAAATATATATTTATCTCTTATTTTTTTTCTGTTCACTTTAATTTTAAATTACATAATTAGAGAAAATAAAATTTTTATTTAAAATATAAAATATTGTACAATCAATGCTCAATTTTTTTATATTACAGTATTATAGTGTGACTTCAGGCATGTATTATTGTCAATTACTAATATATCTTGTGTAACTAATAAAAATCACTAATGATGATTTTTCAAATTACATGTCTCCCATAAATTTCGGCTTTTGATTCTATGGCCAAATATAAAGTTGATGCAGTAATAAATATCTTATTTTTGGGTAATAAAAATAACCATACAGGTGAGGCACTTGAGCAATTAACTTTTGATTATTAATTTGTTAATAGATATAGATACTTATGAAAGATTGCAAGAGTCCAAAATATTTGGAAGTTATAGAGTTAGAAGAAGGGCTAGAATTTGTATTCTAATTTTGATATTTAAGGAATATGAAAGTTAACAAAATAATTAAGAAGTTTAAGAAAAACAGTAAGATCAAAACACACATTATGGGTGTAAGTTGATTAATTAAACCAAGATTTTCTTAATCTGCTACATAGTATTAGTAGTAATAATAATAATAATAATAATAAATATTTAATTTGATTACTTGGATCATAAAGATCATATGCTTGTTGAAGAAATCCGAATAACGATGAAATAAAAATCTGGATGGGTGTAAGTTTTTTGTTTCTGTCAAAGTTAGTTCTAGAAGGGCCAGCTTATTGAATGAGTTTTTGCTTGTTTTTGTTGCAAACTTGTATTGCGTTGGATTATATTGAATATGAAATATTGCTAGAGAAAAAGCACAATATATGTGGCCTTCGTGTAGCCTTGTAGATTGCAGAATTTTGGGTTTGGTTTCTTAAAATGTTTATTTGTTCACTCGACCCGAGAATATGTATGTAAAAGGAGACTATTTTTAGTATCCTCAATTGAATCAATGATCAAATTACGTACCTTTTCAATTTTATTTCATTTGTGTCACGATTTTTAGTTTATCTTTTAATCTAGAGTTATTTACGGGGAAAATTAAACCTATATTTTAATGTAAAAATGTATTTAAAAAATATGCTTTTAACTAATAAAAAATATCGGAAGCATGTTTTGAATACATTTTTACATTGGAAAAGGGTGGATGAAATCAATCTTTCCCGTGAACAATGACAGATTAAAAAATAAGATGGAAATCACTATACATAAAAAAAAATTATATATATTATAAAAAACTTCAGTTGAAAACTCATCCTAAATCTTCCTAATCATTTGACTATCCTAGTAAAGTTTTTTGAAGAGATAGGTGGGAAACTCAATTCTTATTTTTTCAAAGAAATTTCACAAAAAGAGTCAATGTGACGATGCAAGAGGAAGACCGTTACCAACTTGACACACAATTGAGCTTCAAATCTGAATCAGTACCTATTGGTCATGGCTCAGAAAATGAATCAAAAAAAAATATGAATGTATATTTAAGAGAAGATGTGGATACATTGTAGATAGCTCGGGGAGAAACTTTTGAATTCTTCATCGACTAATTTGAGAACAGTGAATAGACCTCTCCCTTTGCAACGTTAATCTTAAAAAATTCAGAGATTTTTTTGAAGACCAATTGAAAATAAGAGATCAAATATAAAAAATAGGAAATACTTTGAAAACAATAATAGTAACAATAACACTTTGAAGGGCCAAGTGCGAGTGACCTTGAATGACGCCTTCCCACCACCACCGCTCTCCGTTGAGTTGTACGCTAATCCTTTCTGTTGTGTAGCAATAAGAATGCATCATTAACTATATCATGAACAAGAAGATGAGTGTTTTTCTAAGAATGCACCTTTGTGTCTTATTTACTATAGTAAGTGTATATTTAATGCATATACTGACCACATTTAAATATTGTCGATTGAAGTTAAGAATACATTTAGTGATAGAATACTAAAAGACATATAAGGAGTGCAGTTAAGCAAGGGAATTGCAATGGTTAGCAAAAGTGAAAAATGGAAAATGACATAACAAAATAGCAAATATGACTTTATCAAATTGTTTAAGGGTATATTAGAAAAATAAAAGTTTTTCACTCCAAGTGCTTTTTATTAGTAGTATAGATATTTGAGTGGCAGATAACCTACCCGAGTTCCTTCATTATGGAAAATATATTTTGGTTTTACGTAAATAATTGTCATTTTGGTTGTTACAACTCTTCATCTCTTTAGTTAATGTTAGTCATTTCAACTCTTTAAATTCTTTTCCCAAATTCAGTAACTTTGCATATAGTTTAAAAACTGGCTCCTTATTCTTCCAGTCTCTACTTCAACTTTATCACATCAATGTCGGATTTACCACGGACGTCGTGCGGGCATAATGCAGTGTGGGTCATTGTGGATAGACTCACCAAGTCCGCTCACTTTTTGGGTATGAAGACCACGGATACATTCGAGACTTTTAGCCAGCTGTATATCCGTGAGATAGTGAGGTTACACGGCGTTCCGCTCTCGATTGTGTCGGATCGTGACTCTAGGTTTGTGGTGAGATTCTGGCAGAGTCTACAAAAAGCGATGGGGACGGAGTTACACTTCAGTACGGCTTTTCATCCCCGAATGAATGGTCAATCCGAGAGGGTGATACAGATTGTAGAGAATATGTTACGCGCTTGCGCGTTGGACTTCAAGGGAAGTTGGAGCAACCACGTACCGTTGGTAGAGTTTGCTTACAAGAACAGCTATCAGGAAAGTATTGGGATGGCACCGTATGAAGCATTGTATGGAAGACCATGCCGATCACCGACGTGTTGGTTAGAAGCCAGCGAGAGTAGTTTGTTTGGACTGGGCATTGTTCGAGAAACTACGGAGAAGATTCAACTCATCTGAGAGAGGCTACGAACAGCGCAAAGTAGACAGAAGAGCTATGCGGACCACAGACGAAGACCCTTAGAATTCAAGGTGGGAGACTATGTATTTCTCAAGGTGTCACCCAAGAAGAGCGTGTTTCGATTCGGCAAGAAGAGGAAGTTAACGCCAAGATAT